GTTTTTCAGAGGCGGCGGGGCGGGGGGTGGGGGGGGGGGGGGGGGGATTTCTGTTTACACACTACTGGCATAACTCCAATTGGTTGAATCTGTTCTGTGTAAACATTACTTTATGGATGGTTACATCACTTTTTTTTTTTTTTTTTTTAAACAAAAACCCAAGCGAAATTAACTTTGATTAGTCATATCGTGATTTGAAAAACTAGATACAATTTTAGTTTGCACCGTAAAAGGACTTTATCACACCAGTCCCATCCTAACACATGCAATGTATGTGCTACAGTTACTACTATTAAAACTCTGTGATAGTTTGTTACTGCTAATTGTTTTTTTTTTTTTTACAAACAGAGGGACAAAACATCATTTAAAGGGGTTACTGCCGTCATTATAGAACTTAAGTTGTATTTAACCCAGAACATCAGTTTAAACACTTGAAAACCATTCTGCACAATACTAAACATTTACACGTAACACTAATCCACTAAATCTGACAGACACAGAGTGTTATAAAACAGAGCCCATGAACTGTTATGTAATGCTGATTAAGTATCACACACAAAAAGAAAACGCACTCAAGCTCACCAGTTGCAGCATGTCATAGATGGACTCTGAGGAGCGTTTGGAGCTCCTGTGTCTCCACAGCACAGACATTCTGCCCCTTAAATGCCACATATGTCACACCAATGCGACCCATAATAAAACCACAGGAAGCGCCTCCACCTCATCTTTATGCACAAAACTTGTCACTACCCGACCGTGAGAGAACCGAGCTACTCTGACCAGAAACAGATACGCCGAGTGGGTCTTCACTATGAACTCTACATTCCACTATAGCTTCCCTGTCCACACAGCCTCCTCCCTCCTTTCCTAGAATTTCTCCCTACATTTCTGCTCGTCTGAGCTGGTTTCTAGCCAGATGGATGGAATGGGGTTCTGACAGCTGTGGTGTAGTAAACACACACAGAGAGAGAGAGAGAGAACAAGAGCAAGAGAGAATAATAATAATCATCATCATCATCATCTTGTCGGCAACAGGATGAGGAGAACAGAAGGGGAGGGGGACACTGGGACAGCCACAAGCATCACATTATACCACAGCTGGGAAAAGCACAGCTCTCAGGTGAAAACGTCAAAATGCCGAGAACAAGGCGACAGGTGTGGCACAATGTTTGTCTATGATGAAAGTGTGGAAAATAATGACCTTAGACATAGATGCTCTTGTCAGAACTGTAGTGCAGCAGTTAGTGCACAGGTTTTTGTTATGTTAAGCTGAGGTGCTCATACAGGTAATACAGGTTCGAGCCTGGCTTCCAGCATGTCCTAAATTACTCCAGTTTTTCCTTAGTAATTTCCTATCATAGCTGCTCAAAAATAAAATTATGAGCTCACCAGTGTCATATTTCATGTTAATATTATAATATTTAAATTAGTTATATATATATATATATATATATATAAAAACACCATTAAAATATGAATATCAAGACAATGATATTATATATATATATAAAAAAAACTTTACAATAATAAAAATCATAAATATATATAATAATTTATATATAAATATAATTTATTATATCAATAAAGAAATATATTGTACATCAGTTTGATTCATGTGTCAGTTTTAGTGATTTTAGTACTTCCACTTATTTTTTTTTCTTCCATTTTAGTTTAATTTGTTTATACATTAAGTTTACGCATCTCATCAATGCATAGACTCACAGAAGACAGGAAGAGTAATGTTTCCTTCCATGGAAAGCAATAAAATGCCCTTATCAGGCTCTCAAACTGACTTCACAAATTAAACGGGGCTCAATTTCTTAAAGGAGCTTTCACTTTCAAAACTGTCTGGAACTACATCCATGGTTATCATCTCCGCATTTGAACAAGAGGGTGGCTAACCACACTGATCCACTCAAGACTGGAAAAGTCTACAAAAGCATCCTTTTTATTTTATAAATTGCATCGTGCAAAATGCAAGTGAATAAAAAAAATAAAAATAAAAAAACCATGGGCACGAGCAAGCAAGCAAACGTTTCAGCACATTGCTATCTTCAGCGCTGTAGACTTTCCCAGTCTTGAGTGGATCAGTGCGTGGTTAGCCACCTTCTTGTTCATTTTCAAGTATCATCCTGGCTCTACGCACCTGCAGTACAAGTACCAATTGCTTCCTGTTTGGAGCACTACAACTTTCTCAAGTTTAACATCTCTGCATTAAAATTTTTAAATTGAAATTTAAAAAATATTTTCACACATTTAACATGCATGCTACTAAGGCTCATGGGCTCAAATATGAAAGTACAGCTCTGCTTAAAGCGGAACAACGTTGGTTTTGCATGCCAAAGTTGAAGAACTTTTCAATTTTTTCCTCTTTCCAAAACTCACCTTACACACAAGCTTAACGGCTTTGAAGCACCTCTGAGCATTTACGACTGGAAAAACATGCAAATCCATAAATTTCTCGGGAGATTTCATGGGATGCATGTCGTAACAAGCATAAAGCTATACATCATGTGCATTCTCAAACCAATCACGATTAAAAGAATCCTGTAGTACAAACCCTCTCTTTTCTCTACACACACACACAGAGCTAAGCCAGGCTGATGTGAAAAGTCAATATTTAGACCGTTAACAGCCCAAATCCATGAACATGCATTCGTATTTCTTTTTTCATTCGTATAACTCCAGGGAAGAACTGCTCGGTTGGTTGCATTGTAAATAAGTCTGGAGACTGGCAGGGGAAGAAGTTTTAGGGTTTAGCAGGATGTTGCAACACCCTCTGAGAGATACATGCAGTCATCATCAAGCCTGGAAAAATAATGAAGTCCTCCTGTCCTTTGTCTTCTAGGTTGTCTGCTTCCTCCGGCGGGTTTCTCCATAATTTATCAGCGTTAAGCGATTCAAATCGATGTGCATAATCAAGCAATTAGAATGCAGAACTAATTAAAGTCATCATCCCCCTCTCTCTCACTCGTCTCAAAGCAAGGAAAGAAAACATAAGTGACGTGAGATAATAACGATAACCAGCCGTGTGATTAATATGGGAAGACAGAATGAGAGAAAATTAATCTCATAAATTATGCCCAGCTGAATCAGCTTCTTTATGTCTGTCATTGTGTCAAACCACATACAAATACACATTTCAAGAACAAAAGACAGTTTACAGAACAATAGACAGTACAGTACAGACCGTACAAGAAAAAGCTTTCAGGTGTGCTTTAAAGAACTCAAATACTGAATAGACGAGAGAAAGTGTTTAAATTTTGCAGCGATATGAGAGAACCAAGGAAGGAAGGAAGGAAGGAATACATAAATTCCATTTTCCTTTGTAGGGTTAATGATCTTTTCGGGACTTTAAAGCAGCATTTTTTTTAATGAAAGGATGAGAATTTCAATAAAATCCATTTAAAATACACAGGCTTTTTTTTTTTGATACGGTATAAATGCAATCCAATAACTGGCCTTAAATACTTAATATTTGTTTTTAAAATTTACATTTTTATAGTGCCTGTGACAAAATGTATAATGTGGATCAGCTGATTTAAATCTCACAGTTAGTTATAATTTGTATGCGTTTGATTCACTGAAAGATCCAATTAATTCCTTTGGGAACTGAACTACACTGGTTGTGCTTTATGCTTTTGATTCTGAAAAAAGCTCATAAGATTCATTCGTTCAGGAATTGGGATACACAGATTTCACAGAGGTTTTTGATTCACTTTAAAAGAAAACTCATAAGAGTCATTTGTTTTGGAATATACAAGTTGAGCGGTGTATTTGATTAACTGGAAAAAAAGGGTTAAAAAAAGTAATTCAGTAATCAGACTGTACTGGTTGCACTGTATGATTTGAGTCACATTTACAGAACCGACTTGGAGTCATTAGTTTGGGATTCGGACAACACTAGTTTCACTTGAAAGAACTTGCTCATTAGAGTAGTTAATTTAGAAATCGGGCATAAATATTGAAATATTGGATGCATTGTATGTTTTTGACTCTCTAAACAGAATTGGCTTACTTGTTCAGGAATCAGACTATTTTAGTACGGTGTTTCTTTTGTATCGGAGTGTGCATGAACTGTTAACGAACCGAGCGAGAAACAGTGCCCCGGTTTGACTGTCCAAAAAGTTAATATGTACTGTATATACCAACTCATTCAGCAACATGACACATGGATGGGACAGAGGGGAACGGGACAAGACAAACATGCATGCTCTGACAGAATGTGGTGTTTTGTGGGTGAATTATTAGTGCTAAATGTGTTCCTGCAACAGATGGTGTGCTGGAGAACAGGCCAGAGAGACTGTGGCCGGCTGGGAGCGTTGGTGTGACAGACAAGGGCACAGAGAGAAAGACACCGATAAAAAAAAAAAAAAATAAAAAAAACATACAAAGACAAAAGAGGCCAAAAAAAGGAGGCTAGACATCAGGTCAGTAAACAGTTCAACAGAGAGCGAGCAAACAGGCTATAGAAGGGAAAAGTGTGGACTGTCATGAAAGAGACAAATCAATCTCGAGACTGACTTTATAACATTTACACTGAGGAAAAAAACAAAAAAACACTTGCGGTGTGGAGTGGAAGTTGCAAAGTGTGTGTTTGTAGTACAAATCCAAACGTCTGAGACCACATTGAAAACCTGGGATTCAAAATACAGTTTAAACCTGGAAATAAACTGAAAGCTTGAAGATTTTGAAAAATGCAAAGAAATGTGATTAAAAGAGCAAAATTATTAGGAAATAATCAAGGTTATAACTATTCTAGATCACTTACAAAAAATTGCTGAAATGGATCATGTGACTGTACAAACAGTCAGATACTTGTCTACTGAAGTACAAGATGCTCTTTGGGTCATTTTCAAATCATGCCGAGTCACATGATCAAGTTTTAAAACTTGTGGAGTTCATGCAGCTCGAGTGCTGCTGTCATTTAAAGCAAACATTTCAGCTCAATTTGTTCTGCTGATAAAATAATGTAATGATATTAAACTAAAGTTACAATAAAAATAAGATTTTTGTAGGGTTTTTTTATTTTTTATGTAAAAGTGGGTGCAGCCATTTGTAACTAGAACGTGCGAGGCATTTTGACTGTATAAAATCACTCAGTTATGCTGCCTGATATTGATGAACTGGTATTTGGCATTATATAAATCTACATTTATCGTAATCAAACACACCGATGTGTAGCTCAAATATTTTTACCGTTTACTGCACTTTGTAATTGTCCTAATCATTTACCAATAGAAGCACTGAATCAATTCTCGAGCATGTACAGAAAACAGCTTACTTCCATGTTGTGAAATAAAGTGGATGGGAGCACATTCACTAGTGGTCTCAGACTTTTGGATCCTTCAGTATATGCATGAGTGTGTGTTGACAGGTTTTATTATGCAAGTGGTTACACGGTCATCAATGATCTTGACCTTCATCAAGCAGACTACTGTATGTCATCACTACCCTCTGTGTGAGAGTATGAGTGTGTGTACGTGTGAAGAACCGCAAGGCAAGAAAACTGGTCTTCCCATCTGCTGTCGTCTCTGAACGCAGCCTTAAAATCAAAGGTCACTTAAAATCACATGACACAAAGCTCTTAACCAGCCATCTGATTTCTGTCAGCCTCTGACCCCACGACACCCTTCATCTCAGAAAATAAAGAGTCTATATTTTACCCACCTCAAATAAAAGCAGAGGACACCAGATGCAAGAACAACACTAAAAGCCCCAGCTACAAAATAAACTAGGATGTCAAGCTCTGTAAATCAAAACCATAAGCTCAATTCAGCCAGACAGAGTGTTGACAGTTCAAGCAGATAATTTTTTGATGGATCTTCATAGCAGGTGGTCTCTAACCTTGTGTGCTGAGCCCGTTTCATCCTCTAGGCTGTCAGCAGGGCTCTCAGCCATTAGGCTTACCCTGTCGTCGCCTGTGACATCAGGGCTGTGCAGCACCAGGACAAGACTTTCATCCAGGATGTCCTCTAGAGGGAGCAATGGAGACAGACAGGGACTGGATGAGCTACAGCAGTGGTTCCCAACCCTGGTCCTGGAGGCACCCCAACACTGCACATTTTGCATGTCTCCTTTCTCTGACACGCCAGTTTCAGGTCTTGGAGTCTCTACTAATGAGCTGATGACCTGAATCAAGCGTGTTTGATTAAGGAGACATGCAAAACTTGCAGTGTTGGGGTGCCTCCAGGACCAGGGTTGGGAACCACTGAGCTACAGGACTGTACAAGACACGAGCTTCACAAGTTAAGAACCGAGATATATATATATACACACACTGTATATGTATATACATGTATATATATATTTTTTTTAATTAATATAAAATAATTATATTAAAACATTATAAATGTATAATATTTGTATAAATAATAATTTTATTCAGCAAGGATGCATTAAATTGATTAAAACTGACAGTAAATACATTTATAATATTACAAATGATTTCTGTTTTAAGAGAAAGATTCCTGAAAAAAAGTAACACCGTTTCCACAACAAATACTAAGCAGCACAACTGTTTTCAAGACTGATAATATGATGTTTTGCACACCAGATCAGCATATTAGAATGATTTCTGAAGGGTCATGTGACACTGACGCAAAGTTATCATCAATAACTTAAAGAAAAAACATTAAAATGTTTATTACTTGAAATAAATATTAACTGAAACAAAATAAAAATAACTATAATATCTAAAGCTACATGAACTGAAACTTAATAAAAATGATAAAGACATTAAAAAAAAGACAAGCACACAAGCAATTTACGAAAACAGGAAATTAAAACATTTATTCAAAATATTAACAAAAAAAAACTATAATAGCCAATCAATTATACAAAAATAACATTACACTGAAGACTGGAGTAATGGCTGCTGAAAATTCAGCTTTGCCATGACAGGAATAAATTTCATATTAAAATATAAAATAATTACTTTAAATTGTAATAATATTTCAAAACTGTTTTTACAGCATTTTTTATCATAAACCCAGCCTTAATGAACATGAGACATCTTTCAAAAATATTAAATATTTTACAGACTCCAAACCTTTGAACTGTAGTGTATCTCTAGAATTACTGCATGTTGATATAATCAACTTCTAGATTTTCATAAAAATCATGATTTTAATGATTTCTGAATCTCAAACTATGAAACAAAATTATTTGAAAGGTGGAGCAATCTCCCTTCTACTAGCAGCACCAAATAAAACTGATGACAATAAAATATGCAAATATATGAAAAAAAGAAGAGAGCGGTGATGAAGTTTACCCTGACTCTGGGAGAAGATGTCAGTGCAGACGTCCTGCGCCCCGTCCGATCGGTGGGGAGGCATCTGGCACAGCTGGTGAGGATCGGTAGCAGACAGTGTGCTGACAGTCAGGGTGAGAGAGGGCAAAGAAAACGCAGTCTGCATGTCAGCTAGCTCCAACACACTCGCCAGCTTACTGTTCAATTTCAGAATCTCATCACCTGCTCGCAGACCTGAACACACACAATGTTGAACAAAAGCTCAAATCAAGTTTGTAACCCCAAAATATAATTACATCACTTAAACACACAGTCAACATACAAAAGTTTCTCAAGATCTTGTTTTCTTGCAGAAGTACAACTCTTTATGCTGTCAGAGGTTAATTATTAATACATAAAGTAAATTACTTATATAACCACATTAAATTATAAAATTATTATTGCCTTACTATTCACATGTTTAAAAGTAGATTTGTTGTGTATGTTGTACATGATGAGAACAAAGAAAGACCCTAATCTGCTCCTCCCCCAACCACCTGACTCCCTCTCTCTTAATTATCAATAAAAGATCAGCTGCTCAATTAGCCTCCAATAGCTCAGTTAATGCTCATTAGGTGAGACTGCCAGTTTAATTGATTACTGATGCCCATGTTCCTGCAGGGACTAAATATTTCTCTCTGTTCCTGAGCTTTTATGAATGCTGTATGGGTTTACACACATGCATGCACGCGCGCACACACACACACTGCCTGAAGTGTGACCCAGTTTTACATGAAGCAAAATGTCGGCTGTAATAAAGCTTTTTTATTGGATGGCTCGGCTCGGCTCTGCCCCCGGCCATAGAGTGATGATGAATGTTGGGGTGATGTCATCAACAAGCGCCCCCAGTGCTGTGCGTCCAAACCGTCCTGAATTTGAGTATTTCCTCCAGCAAATTTTGACCGTGTGTATTTCACACACACTCGTTTCATTCAGTTTGGACAGCACATGGTCTTAATGAGCCAATGCTTTGTTGGGGCATATTCTTCTCCGCCCCCAAAAAATTGCTTCTCGAACTGTCCACTTGGGTTTGTATCCATCTACCTTACTATTCATCCAGACAAGCCTTTTCTTGTACACTGGCACTTTTGCAAGGCCTTCTGGGTAGAATTACTAACAATTTTGAAACAAAACCCTGCTGAAAAAAAGTCTTAAACCAGCCTGGTCTCCCAGACCAGCTGTCCGCACAGCTAAACTAGCTAAAGACCAGTTTGGTCAGGCTGGAAGCCAGCTAAGAACTGCATTAGTCTAATTTAAATGTTGTTGTTTTTTTGCAGCAGGGAAAGTCTATGCAGATTGTGTACTGTACATTCAAGTTTATACTCTGGGGTTTAGCACAAATCCCTAACCCTTAGTATGAGCAATAATAATAATAGCGATGCTTATCTTAGCAAGCACCGCTAATTAAAATACTCTGATACTGAACAACTAGACTTACTGGAACAGAGAGAATCTGAAACCGTTCTGAAGGCTGCTCTTAATGAACGCATTCGCTTGGCACAGATATCACTGGCAGTGCGTAATAGTTTTAATTTGCTCCTCTTGGTAATCCTGTGCTCATGTGAAAGCTTTTTAAATGATTTTCCTCCAGTCCGGTGGAGATTTGGGTCAGTCCTCGCAGTTGTTCAGACTCCTGCATATTCCCCTGCTAATTTCGCAGCAGTTTTACAGACTACTGCAAGTGAGGCATAAGGTTTTGATTTGAAGAGCTGCCAAATAGAGGCAGTAAAGTAATATAGGAACTTTTTTGTAAGGCATTTACACACCACCATTTTCAAAATGGTGAAACAGCATTTTGGGGGCTTGAAAATGAAAACTTTTGAAAATTTTACCATTATCATCTCTGTGTAAATTACAAGAACGAGAGTGTGGGATTGTTTTGACAAGTTGTCGTCTGTACGTGAAACGTCAAAAACACAAAGGAAAAGTTTCCATTTTTAGTACATCGGTGTTGTGTAAACAATACCCTAAGAAATTAGTTTTTTCAAAAGTTGCTTGACTTTAAATTATGACAAGCTAAAGTTTCAAAGTATCTTCCCTAACACTGTATATAACTGAGCTGTATAAGAACTGCTATCTGCTGAGTTCCATCACACACCTTTGGCAAATGCCAGACCTCCAGCTTTCACATCAGTGATATGAAGCTGTTGGCCTCCGTCCTCCTCTACTACTGCCACTGAGAAACCTGGAGAAGAGAGAAAGAGTCATAAATAACTGAAAAAAGAAACAAAGAACAGGAAAAAATCAGATATAAACTGAACAGCATTGTTACCGTAGCCTATGGCACAGGACTCATCTCTGTCAAACTGGAGGACTTTGGTTCTCTTGGCACAAATTTCGATTTCTTTGTAGAGCTGAAAAAAGGAAGAGAGAGACTTATATTGATTGCACTCTATGGACGTACAGTTCATTTACAGTATGACTTCAGAAAGAGCTCACATACATCATGGAAAATGTCTTAGTCTGCTGAAATTTATGGCATAGGTATACAGTATACGCTAAATAAAAAAAGCTAATTCTCAAGAGAGCCTGAGACAAAACTGGGGCTTTGATCATTTCAGGGAGAGTAAAAGTTAGAGAAAGTCAAGTCTCTACAGAGAGAAAAAGAAAAGATGAGAGGAGACATGGAAAACACAAAGACTCTCTGTCATCTTAGAAGAACGACCATGAAAAAAAAAACAGCAAAGTAAATTAGCTTTGGAGGTTGCATAGTCAGAGGTGGTTTTCCCCAGACTCCACACACACACACACACACACACACACACACACACACACACACAGCTTAGGGGATAGAAGAACTATTCAGAGTACATTATGCAGTACATGCATCTTCTACATAATTCATAAAATGCAGCAGGCTCCTCAACACTGTCTGAGAGTTTAGACTCGCTTTAACCTATATCGCAGTCAGAACTCAAAACTTTTAAACTATATGTGGCCCATTGCAGAGCCCGTCACAGTCTAATAAATTCACCCCACACTGCGACTGTGACCGCTAAACGCTCTTAGCTGTCCAGGACATGTGTGGACACTGACAGGCTCTTTTTGTTGAACTCACCAGGTCACAGAGGTCCTCCTCAGGCTTGGGGACGTACAATTGCACTTGATTGTCAATGAGGAACTTCAGCTGTATATAGTGCTTGGAAAGTTCTAGTCTGTGAGCCTGTAAAAAAAACATTATATGTATGTACAGTATATTATTGCTCAGAGTTATTATAGTTAACTAAAACCTTAAATAAACATTTTAGTTACATGAAATAAAATAAACAACTGAAATAAAATATAATATTTAAAAAAATTATGCATTGTGGTTATAGATGCTTTCTTTGCTAAAAGATGCCGGGAAATGAAATGAAATGATATTATATTTTATTTAGTACTAAACTCTATACCATACTCTATATGTATTTTTGATTGGCTGACTGTACATTATCCCACTTACAAGAGGGTTACTTCCTAAATAAATAAAAAAGTAATAAAATATTAATTTGAAGTGAATTATAAGACATGAAGCTAGTCAGATATACAGTACAGTTTAATAGTCATTATACAAAAATATTTGACTACAGAATGCTGCAGTTGACTAACCAGAATAAAGTATTCCAGAGAGCTGTAAAAAGAAGAGATTAATGAATAAGGAATTCTAAATAAATATCGAGAGACTATTAACATTCAGCAATAAACCTCAGCATTTAATCTGTTGAAGTTACTTACGACCGTCTTAAAATGCATGTGTCCATGACAAAGGATGTTAACTTTACGTTTGCCAGTGTGCGAATTGGTTAATATTTTATTTCAGGACTTGACAGAAAACCATTTCTGGGATTTAGTGCAGCCACTTTGCAGGTTAATTTATTTATAATTCTTTATGTTTCATGCTACGCTGCAGGCTATCTAAAAAGATGCATGTAGATGAATCATAAATATGACACCGGACAGTGATTGCTCCACTGGCATTCAAATGTGAACAGGACGTGAGTGTGTGTTCTCTACACAAATGCTTGTGGACATATTTACGAGAACTGTGGATAAGAGCATTCTAGAACACCCTGCAGTGATAGCAGCTGAGAACGGACAAGGAAAGAGGCCTAGAGCTACTACAGCAGAATGATAACAGGAAGATAACCACAAGAAGAAATAATCCACTGACACTTTAGTAGTTTGCCTTGAGAAATAGTAAGTTCTAGCACTTTCTCAACCTTAAAAGATGGGAGGGTGAGTTTCGTGTTTTCAGGAAATGAGTTACATGAGATGTTAGCCATGGACAAATCATAAGATTACTCTGCTTTTATGATATTGACGTGATGTAGGCATTAAATATCCTGTTCATTGTTGCTAGTGGGCTGCAAGATGACAGCATAGTGAAACTGGGATCTTGTTTGCTAAAGAAACACATGGCACAGCTGACGTATTTGTTGCTAATGCCTCAGGACAAAAGATGACACATGCAAGGAGACAAACAACCACCAGTCAATAGGTTTCAGATGACCATTATATCATGGTTCACAAACAAACGTGTAAACTACTTTTTCTGTATTCATATATAATATTACTTATATTGCTATGAATAAACTAAAATAATGTTATGTTATATTTTTTGGGGGAAACTTGTTGTTCAATATGAAACTATGATTGGAATTATGTTAGCTGAAAGCAAAATGGACAATATTATTATATTGGACAATGATACCTGCCTCTGGGAACTTCAGTTTGACAGGATTTAAACAGTCACATGGAAATGTATTTGATTTGAATAGTTTTGTTTGCAAGAACACACAACATTTACCTTGCACAGTGCCTCCAGGGCCTCCATGGTCGTCTCCCCCGGCTGTATGATAGCCAACACAGGCCGATCATCAGGTAAAGAGACCCAGGATGGTGTGAGATAGTCGGGGACCCAAACTTCACTGTCCGTCTTGTGTTGGGTGAGACTTTTCACCAAACCCTCTTGGTTCTTCTGTTAAAAGAAATAAAGAAACAAGCTATTTAGGAAGGTGTTTAATGCCAGCATGAAATGGTATTCACAATGCATTTAACTTACTGTATGTAATGCAATGTATTTCTGAGCAAAAATATTTTGTGATGTACTGCTATGCAAACTATACCAAGACCAATAATTATTTTAAAATAAATATAAAAAACAACATTAGATATCAGTATGTATTATATATATATATATATATACTGTATATTATATTACTATATATAATATTTTATGGCCTTTTTTACATATCAGACCGATACCAATATATCACGCACATCTGGAATTATATTTTACATTTTTATACTTATATTTTACTATTTTCTTATTGCTTATTTTACTCTGATATGAGATAATAATTTTACTGCTGATATATTGTGAGACCTTAAAAATACAGAATGGAACCTGATTTCATCCATCAGAAATTGCTTGGATTGATTGCTTAACATTAGCAATTAGCCAGGAAAATCAAAGAAAACAAAAACTATTTTTTGTTTTATCACTACTAAAGAAGCATGCACAATAAAACCAGGATTGTGCATCAAGAAAGAAAATAGGGTAAATTTCACGTTGCCTTTCAAATGAAACCTAAAATATGTGAGAAAAGTGAACACCACAATAAGATATCACACAAACCTCTGAATGCAGATTTACAAAGGTGGCGGTTTTCTGGTTATATTTGCACAAATCGGCCTTATCACACTTAAGCTGAGCTGTCTGGATCGATGCAGCAGACAATGTGATGATATCTAATCTGAGACTAATTAGCTTGGCATCCAAGCACAGCAATGTGCAAGCTCCCCACAATACTCAGCGCCCCTATCTGACAACAGCGCTGTTGGATGTCATGGCGGGTGATCGATGAGCTGACGTGTACCGGCAGGGATGTTCATTGTGGGTTTTTCGAGGGCTCTTGGGTCTGTCAGCGGGTCTGGCCAGCTGTCAGTGACGGCATGCTGCCTGGCTCAGATAGCTTATCCCACACTATCGGGTGACAGCCTAGCACCCTCCCCTTCCCCTCAACAATCTGCCCGCAGAGTAGCTTTGATGGTGGTCCCCCATCATGGAGAGACAGCAAGCCCACACATGGTGAAGGAGAGCGGGAAATGGGTCAGAGGGACTTAAACACACTCACATACTGGCAAACACATGCAGAAAATACATTAAACACTCCAACATTCTGTTACTCATTCAACTCACACGCGCACACGCTCCCCTCCCAAAACACCCGCCATCTGCCTCCTCTCCTGGCTGTTAATGGACGTGCCGGGTGGGAGAGGAGCCCAGGCCTCCCGCCGCTTCTCCCCGAGGCCCTACATCCCAGCTTGGGAGTCTTAACTCTCTCTAGCTTCTTTCCAGCTCCCTTTGGGAGTTCCACACAGCCCTAACATCTCGGTTCTTATGCGTTCTGCCTCTGACACCATTCTCTTTGACAGTTTTAATTATGCAAAGCATTCTGGGAAGTGTTAGTGTCCTCCTCACCAGTGTCTCCTTTGCAGTGTCCTCAAACATGTGCTCGAGATTCCTCTTAACTGACTCTTCACCATCTACAAACACCTGAGGTTAAGACAAAAACTTCAGTTGGGACCCACCATAAATGAAGGTATTTGAATGCACTTACAGCACATACAAAATAACTATTACAAATTGTATGAAAAATAAACAGTGATTCATTCTGTTGAACACATGTAATATGTAATGTCGTAGATTGTAGCAGATGTCTAGCAGATGTGAACCTGGTTGATGCTGGGTCTGCCTTTGGTTTTCTTTTTCGAGGTAGTGTCCAGACCCCACAGAGAGGAGAAACGGCTCTTTCGTTTACTGGAGGAACGAGACAGGGCCTGGTTACGCCTCCGAATTCCCCCATCCGTCCTCGCTGCCACCTGTCCAACACAAATATGCATACAGAAAGTCAATAAACATCTAAGAGAGTTTCAAGCACATGTGATGATAATTTTAAACCATTTGGCATTTGTCATAGAGGAAATCTTTAAAGGGATAGTTCACTTACTTTAAAGGGACAGTTCACTCAAAAATTCAAATTAATGGAAAAGTGCAGCACAAACATTGTTCAAAACATCTCCTTTTGGATTTGTCTGGCTTTGGAACAATGTGAGAACAAGTAAATTACAATAATTTTCATTTCTGGGTGAACACTCACTTTAAATATTTCACCAATCCCATGATTGTACAGCAAACACTAATATTAAACATTTAAGTGACACACGATATATAGATTTATTGAAGACTATATGGCCTAAGGGTCATTCACACCAAGGATAACAATACAGTTTTAATAATTGTGACCCTGGACCACAAAACCAGTCATAAGGGTAAATTTTTTTAAATTGAGATTTATACATCCTCTGAATAAATAAGCTTTCCATTGATGTATGGTTTGTTAGGATAGGACAATATTTGGCCGAGATACAACTATTTGAAAATCTGAAATCTAAAAAAGATCTAAATACAGAGAAAATCGCCTTTAAAGTTATCCAAATTAAGTTCTTAGCAATGCATATTACCAATAAAAAATTAAGTTTTTATATATTTACAGTAGGAAATTTACAAAATATCTTCATGGAACATCATCTTTACTTAATACCCTAATGATTTTTGGCATAAAAGAAAAATCGATAATTTGGACACATACAATGTTTTTTTGGCTATTGCTACAAATATACCCAAAGCGACTTAAGACTGGTTTTGTGGTCCAGGGTCAAAATTGTTCTAATTCCATGAGAAGACATCCACACCACAACTATAATGATAATGACACAGAAGAACAATATCGTCGGACATAACTGCAGCTCGCATTGGTGTGGACGCTAATATAATTATAGTTATTGTTCTTGATGTGAACAGGCCTTTATTCCGCCTGGAGGTTTTAGCCTTCATTGATTACAAATGGCCTCAGTGACACTGTGACAAAAGATCAGGAAAGAGAGGGGGAAAAACATCCCTTTGCCTTTAGGTTTCAAATAACGATCGGTGATGTGAAAAATTCTGACACCATGTCAGAAGCAGTACACATAAACTGACATGGTGTGGAAATGTTCTGTTCACACACCCCAACATGAAACCACACTCACATTTCTGGGATAATAAACATTAGTGTCACAGAAGTCATTAAGGATTTCCTCAGTAATCAGACTGCATGGAGGAGTTTCCATAGACATAAAACCTTAGCAGTTTAGGGGACATCTGCGGTACAGTGTTTAAGTACAAAACTCTGTGGCTTGTTTCATATTTTTAAAGAGAGAAGAAACGAGAAAGGAACATTTATGAAGACATTTAAGGTTTAAGGTAGTGGTTAGTGATGATGCTTTTAGAAACACAAATTAAGTGGCAAAATAGCTCAAAGAAAATTTAGGGAAGACAGTTATTGATCTACCGCTTGAGTGCCGTTTACGAAAAATGCTCCCTTTTTCACTACTTAAAACGTCACTGATTTTCCGTCAATCTTGGTTTAGTTTTCTAGGAACTCAATGAATTACGCAATTAAATGGGAGCTGTATTTCCACGCATCACTGTGACTCTGCTGAGGTGACAGTTGCAGTCCACCGGCTGCATGTTACGCCATTCAGTCCGTTCTCTGCTGAACCACAGGAATGACAAAAACACGATTGTGACAGCATGTTTTGTTATGCAGTTTCTGTTAGGACTCAGGCCAAGAACAGGCTGGCAGGCAGCTCAGAGCTTCCCGGGTTCTTGCGGAGTGGATTAAAATGAAATGGGTATTAACAAACATGCTTCAGACCTTATCTAAACAATTAAATTTTTTCCTATACTTCTATTTCTGTATATAGTACATTATTCAAATTTTTTTTTTAATTAAAATATATATATTTTTTATTATTATATTAGTTTTATATTACATCCCTACTGTGTTATTCCTATGTATGTCTACACTATCATGTATGTCTGCACTATGTTTGTACTTTCTTCTACACTGGAAGCTCCTGTCGTCAAGTCAAATTCCTCGTGTGTGTAAACATACTTGGTAATAAAGCTCTTCTGATTCTGATTCTGATTCTGAGTGTGAATGAAAGTAAGTGTAAATGTGCGAAACAGAGAGAAATAGGGAATAATGCAATGATACTGAGCGTTTTGAGAGTGTGGATGTTTGTAAATATATGTGTCCTACCAGGGCATGGAAGGATGATACTGAAAAAATGCCAAGACGACCCATGGACAGTTTGGTGGGGCGGGAAGCAACGGCGAGTAGGCGTTTTGGATTTGGAAGCTCGCCGCCCTGCAGGCTGGACAGGTAACAGCGATACCGGAACAAGTCCATATGAAACTGCTCCAAATTCTGCTCCCAGAGGAATATCTGAACAAAAAGAAAGAACGATTTCAATTCTTCTGCTTTGTCAGTATTTTAACATGCTCTGCACTTATTGTTTGGCCCTTGAGCTGCTGACTATTAGACTGTGGGCAGTGTTTTTAATACGGTTTTGTTTACTGGAGGAGAATGCTGGGATAAATCATTAGTCAGCAGGCCTCCTCCAAACCAGCATGACCTGAGTCTATTTAGAGACCATGGAGGAGTAAGCCCACCTCCACATAAACAGACAAGTACATTACATAAACAATAAGTGAACAAAAACATATTTACACTTATCTTTTATGTAAGATCAATCAAATCACGTCAGTTAGAGATTAAACAGACATAGTCAAATACACAGTAGCATCAGACATACAAAAACAGTTACTGTATGTCAGAAACACCAAATCTGTGAGTCAGTTAACTGTATAATTGACGTGTCCTAATAAACAAATTAAACAATTATTGAATGATCATTTCTGCAGGGCGTGTTAATAGGTCAAGTTTAATAGATTAAAATTCCTAAGGCGAAGCTTGCTTTATTTATTTATTTATTTTTTATGAATTGACTCATCCAATGGCTTTGTTTTTTGGGTGGAAATATCTGTCCAACCAGTGGTACCTAAACCTACTTCTAGACGACACCGACTCTCCAATAATGAGCACAATTTAATATCCTCCAAAAATAAGAAATGCATACGCGGCAAGTCCATACCTGCTCTAGGATAGTCTTCCTCTTCTTCCCATCAGTGATGGCAGAGAGCTGCATTTCGCCCATCTTCTTCATTTTCTCATCCATGTCGATCTTTTGTTCAAGCTTCTTGATCTCAGAGCGCAGCAATCGTACCGTGTCTTCATGGTGGTGCTGACGGGCGACGGCCGCGGCGCAGGCTGAGTGGATGGCGGTTATCCAGTTTTCCAGCTCCGTTTGACCTGATGTCTAAAACGAAGTGAACAAGAACATTATTTCTTATCATTATAGGATGCCCAATGGCATTTCAGCTACAATGGGTAAAACTTAAGGCACAGTATCTAAAACTTGGCACTCCATATATATATATATATATATATATATATATATATATATATATATATATATATATATATATAGTGGGTACGGAAAGTATTCAGACCCCCTTACATTTTTCACTCTTTGTTATATTGCAGCCATTTGCTAAAATCATTTAAGTTATTTTTTTTCCTCATTAATGTACACACAGCACCCCATATTGACAGAAAAACACAGAATTGTTGACATTTTTGCAGATTTATTAAAAAAGACAAACTGAAATATCACATGGTCCTAAGTATTCAGATCCTTTGCTGTGACACTCATATATTATAACTCAGGTGCTTTTCAGACAGAAATTCAGAATGATACAGTGGACCATGACCATTGATGTGGGACAATTCTATATCAACTCTTTTCAGGTTGTCATAAATGTATGGACAAAAGCATTACCAAAGTCTACAAATGCTACCCTGAAGAATTCAAGTTCATAAGAGTAAGTGGAATCACATTAATAATAATCTTTCGAAATTCAAAATGTCTTACCTGGAAGAGGAAGGCATCTCCGAGTGCATTGCTCAGACAAAACACAAAGTCTTTCTTGGGATGTTCTGGGACAGCCTGGACCATGCTGTTCTCCACCCAGACTGCATGTTTGTGGATGCTGTTGTGGTCAATTCCTGAACGTCCATCCGTTTCGTAGAAAAACAGAGTGCATCCTGGGAGGATAAAGTGAGAAGGAAGTTCAGAAAATACGGAACTGTAAATGTAAAACAAGTCTCAGGATTCGATTAATCAACACAAATAAATTAATGAAGGTTTTCATGACACAAAAAAAGATGATGAGCTGGCTAAAGGAGGCTGGAAAGTGCAGTAATAATTATTATAGAGTTATATCTACTGCATTAGTTGTAATAGACAGCACAAGGTTTGAATAACCTGGTTATGTTCCTGACACAAATGATGATCTGTAATGTCTCAGATGCTATTTTGTGTTCTTTTTACATTAACATTTGCGGCAAGAAATGGCCCAGAGCATGAAATTAGATTGTGATTGAATAGTCATTGCAAGGTTACTAACATCAAACAGCCTGAATCAAAAGCTCAGAGTTAGAAAATAAATGTATTAGGGTTTGGTGGGATTACCCTGATGTGAAATAGCAGGTGCATGATATTTTGTAACTGGTGCGGGGTCAAGGAGTTGCAAAATATCAGATCAAGTAAAATGCATTGCATTGTGGGATGGAATACCCAGTGAAGTGTGCTTTGCTGTATACTGCCCATTTGATCAAATGTAAGAGGTCATTCAGGTAAATGATGCACAATATACACATTATATCCACCTTTTCCCTGAGTAACAGGCAAGAGTTTTGCATTCAGGAAAAAGGTGGATAGAGCAGAAATAGTAAGAGTAGCAATATGCTATTCCAAATATAGCTTCAGTCTCACCTTTGAGTGACACCCAGTACTGTTTCCATTTCCTCTTTGCTGCTGGCTCCACCCTCTTATTCTTTTTGTGCACCAGGAAGTTCTTCACAGCCAGCATGCCGGCCTTCCGCACAGTGCCCTGCACCATGCTAAGCAGAATGTCTGAGGGGTAAATGGAGCTTAGCGTTCCACTGCTCCTCTCATCGCTAGTTGCCGAACCGGCCTCCTCGAGGCATTCCCGTGTCTGTCGGGAGTTCAAGTCCAGCTCCTGACGGAAGTTCTCGTATACACCTTGATCTCCACCCGGTTGACGTTCACGGTCTCCTCCACCTCCGCTGCTACTGCCACTGTCGCTTCCCGCGAAGATGCTTCCGCTAGCAGTAGAGTAGACGGAGAAGGACGCAGACATGGTCTTGCAACGGCGTGAGGAATGCTCGACTTCAGCTGCACCACCGTCAATACCGCTGTCTCCATACTCACTGCCCTCACCGGCCGTGATATCCTTCATCCAAACAGAACAGGTTACTAGAGACAAAAGATGTCACTCCCTCTACAGGTACAGCCCATCATATGGGACACCCTCCAAACAAGAATTCCTTTTCCGAATTTCACCCCAAACAATAGTTTGACATTTCATAAAAATTTTAATAGAAACTAACTTCCATTGAGCTGCTAAATGACTCTTCTTTCTTTCCCCTTTTGACAGATACAAAGAAAGAGACTAATCTGTGCTTGTTCCCAACTTGTTTACCTGTACATGAAAGAGGAACAGAAAGAGGAAGACATGCTAAGGAGAAAGTGCAGCTTCCCTTTGCCAACACAGAAACACTAAAGTTCCTCGCAGGTAGATCATGGGAAATATCATGTTTCAAAAACACTCAAGAGCTCTGAGCAGGTGTCCAAAGTAGCTGTCAAAGGCATGAGCATGGCTTAGGGAACATTTGAAGTGTCCCCCGAGACCTTTCAAAGTCGGAAGCTCTTTGACAACCAAAGACAGTTCAGATCACATCAAATATGCACAAACGTGAAAATTAAAAGCTATCTGAATTTGGTTTTAAAGACCCTAGAGAGTTTTATTTTTCACATTGTATTAGAGCTAAAAGTAGAGGAGACTTGAAATTATAAAAGATTTTCCTCAGAGAATCCCATAAGGTAACTGCTCTTTATCCATTTATTGGTCAACTACTTTAAACTACCCACTAGGTTCTATAATAAATGTACGACACTAGAGAAGTTTAGAAGCTCGGAAATAGGCAAGGTGGTCAAAAACATTCATAACAGTCTGGAGACACTGAAGATAATAATGATCTTTATTTTCAGAGGATGTGGAAAGACCCTGTGTCAGAGGTATAACTCACATGTGTTGTTTGTGCACGCCGTCCCTGCATACGTGAGCAGATGGTAGTCTGGTGATTGGACAGTCCTTCCGACAGGCAGTGAGAACGACGACAAGGAAGAGTGTATGCTCCATATCCGTTCCCTTCCTCCTCCGCAGGAGACAAGATCTCACCGTTCATTACGCCCCCCTCCGTCCTCTCAGGATTGTGACCGTTATAGAGATGGTGGGAGCCACGAAGAGGAGGTAGTCTCTGTGTGCAAAGTTCGTCTAAAGAGTTGGCTCTCTCTCCTGAGTGAGACTCAAGTGTCCGCGGGCTGGAGGTGCGATGGCGTCCTCCACAGTTAGTGAAGCTTTTGTCTTCATTCTCATTTGTCCCTATAATCTCTTCTGTGCTTGTCAGATGCTCTTGGCTTAGATCCGACAGGGAAAACTCCATGGAATCCTCTCTCCACATATCAGCAGATTTGGAGCGCTTCTTCTTGAAACTGCCACCTTCCTGAGGACCATCTCTGGTCCTCTGCAGATATGTGTCCTCACCTGTGAAAAGTCCTTCATAATCACAACCGTCAGCCACCACTGTGTCCATTTCCACTCCATCTTCAGAACCTGGTGTGGTGGTTGGATCCCCCATGTTGTCGTGGAAGGACATCGGCCGCAAGTTCATGGCCTTCCGGTCCACCCAAATGGTACCCCCATAGCCCTCCAAAACATTCTTATTGAAAGGTTCTAGGCCATTTTCACTCAGGGATTGTGGGATGGAAGGGGTGCTGCTGGATTTTGTGCTGGTCTCAGAGTTGCGGTATTCAGCCTTGCTGGATGAGGTGTGACGTGATCGTCGAGACTGCTTGTTAGAGATGCGAAGAGATCGGGTCATATGCTTTCGTGAGAGGTGGCCCTGCCCCTCACCATAGTAGGCGTGGTCTCCATTTTGGCTCTCTATGTTTCCCATGGTTTAACTTCTATGGAAGACACAACATGGGTTAGATATATAACATGCCTACACAGATGAAGATGCACCAATTACTAGCAAGATGTCTGTACATGCCTGTGTGACATTTCAAAGACAGATTTGCACGTTTTTGGGGCTCTCAAACCTGACTGCCCAGTAAACACCACATTCTTCCAAAGATGCTTTCTAGAGACCTTTGTAGCTCCAAAGCAGTTCCTCCCTGCTGAGTCCATGCAAGGGGTTAAATGTTAAGAATTTTTACAGCGCAGTAAAAGAAAGCAACAGAATAAAAGAGGATGTACCCACAGAAGTGAAATTCAGTCTCACCATCTCTAAAAGTGAGAGCTGAATAGCATGTGACCAGAGCATGATGCCAGAAATATCTCTGACGCACACAAAGACACAAAGCGAGAGAGTGAGCGAAGGAGTGAGATGTGAAACCTCAGATGATTTTTACAATGACCTCCATTAGAGAGTTCACCATTTGTGTATCTCAGCTAACCTCTTGAAATTTTTGGAACGGTTCAATTAGAGTAAAATTCAGACAAATTAGTCATAAGAAAGAAACAGGAATTAATTATAGAAATCCATAGTGTACCGTTTCTAGAATTATTTTTATTAAATCACTTTGGCATCTAAAAAAAATATTTGTAGGGGAATAGTCATGAGAGATATTTGCTCTGTTCTACAACTTAAAGAAGCAGCATTTTAAGGCATCATAGGCACACTCCCGACATTAAGGCTGTCCCAGAAGGTAAGTTAATCATCTTGCCTTATAATTGCTCTTGATATCTTGTTTGCACAACCAATAACAGCCAATCCCATAATGTTCTCGTTCTAATTCCCATTGTGATAAGCTTTAGGGAAAACTGAATTCCAGACACTGGGCTAGGTACTAGGTAAATACTTGATTCAGTTATCTTTTATCCAGTTTATGTTACTGAAAATATTGATTGAATTGCATAATTTTGCCCAATATTTATGAGTGCTTTGAATTTCTTGCAATTTACAGTATCATATCGCTAACTTAGCAACATGCTAATGAGCTTTGTTGAACTCAATCGCTGAAATCGGCAGCAAGGCAGCTCACTAGGTTTTGAGCTGCCTCAAAAACATGATTCTATCATTTTAGTACATGACATCATGTATATAAGATCGGCAGTAGTACCTGAGGCAGAACCAGTGGATCAGATGCATTTCCAGACAGCCATATTCTTATTTATTGACCTCATGGTCCTGATCAGCTCTATGGCAGTTTTCCCTGAAAAAGAAGCATAACACAAATTTTAAACAAAGGAACAGAAAAAGATTAAGTCTAGAGACAAGGATAGTTGTTCATTAGACATTTAAGAGGTTTTGGGTTTCCAAGTATGAGATGGCTGGATTACAAGACACATATGAAAACATGACAGCTAACCTGTTCCAAGGTGTGGTCACAAAAATGTGCACAACACTTATACAGCAATACTTCTCACACCCTCACTGCTGCACAAGAGGAAGAATTTTCGTCTCAGTTCCTTAAGAAGCCAACAATACAGTAATTATGGCAGAAGATCAAGGGTACCCAGCAGTAGGCTTAAAGCTGAACCCAGTTATATGTTCTTCAATGCCAATCTGACCTAATTTCTTCTAATCCAGAGAGAAGAGCAGAGAGAAAGTCTCATCTTCATACTGCAGCAGGTATAAATATGGGAAGATAGTTCAGACTACACACTCCAAGTGCACTTTATGGATTAGCCTCAGAATGACACGGTCACTGTGCCAGTAACCAGGAGACAGAAATAGAGGAAGAGAATAGGGAAAAAGAAGAGAAAGAATTTCTAGTGGTGATACCACATTGGATTAGTTTAAATTTGTATAGACGGACATATTCAAGACATATCTAGAGACTTGAGGTAAGCTCTTTTGACTTGGACTAGTATGCAACCACATTAGTGACACTCTAGCATTGTGGCGACAAGTTTACATGTAAAAAAAACCTCACAAATCTAGTTTTTATTGTAATGTTCTTGTTGTGTACCTGTTTGTTGTTTCTTACTGCCACAGGGTTTTTGATTCAAACAGTGTAACAGAAGCGTGTGTGCATGTGTTTGGATCACATCCAGCTTCAGCAGTAAGGGTCAACAAGACCTTAAGGCCAATAACGTGAGAGATAGAGACCCATCTGATGATCTCTATTCTCAGGACGACAGCCGGCTGTTTGTTTGTGTACATGAGAGCTGCAGCGGTAGAAAAACTCAGTACTGCACTGCAGTAAGTCTACTCAACCTTGCTGTAGAGTTACATAAACTAGAGTAGACCCCATTCTTCCACTGAACTTCACTTGTTTTCGCAGCTCTGGCCTTCCCCTCCCTGCTCCACCTTCTGATCAATGCCTCCTCCTTCATACTACTACCATTAGATTTGTCCTCCACATAATATTAAGCTTTTATATCAGCAATTCCAGTGTGATGTTCACTGGGGTGGAATAGAGGACCAAACTTTGCTGTGAAAAAAGCATCTTCCGTCGTGAAGGAAAGTTAATTGGATTTGCCATAGCTATGAGTTCCCATTTCATGCTATTCTTAGAGTTGCACATATTACGTAAATCTGGTTGACTTTCTACAACTTTCTCCCATCTCCCGCCTGCATCTCTGGCGCTCAGCCACAGTGATCTTTGGGTTCTTCTTTACCTCTCTCACCAAGGCTCTTCTCCCCCGATAGCTCAGTTTGGCCGGACGGCCAGCTCTAGGAAGGGTTCTGGTTGTCCCAAACGTCTTCCATTTAAGGATTATGGAGGCCACTGTGCTCTTAGGAACCTTAAGTGCAGCAGAAATTTTTTTGTAACCTTGGCCAGATCTGTGTCTTGCCACAATTCGGTCTCTGAGCTCTTCAGGCAGTTCCTTTGACCTCATGATTCTCATTTGCTCTGACATGCACTGTGAGCTGTAAGGTCTTATATAGACAGGTGTGTGGCTTTCCTAATCAAGTCCAATCAGTATAATCAAACACAGCTGGACTCAAATGAAGGTGTAGAACCATCTCAAGGATGATCAGAAGAAATGGACAGCCCCTGAGTTAAATATATGAGTGTCACAGCAAAGGGTCTGAATACTTAGGACCATGTGATATTTCAGTTTTTCTTTTTTAATAAATCTGCAAAAATTTCAACAATTCTGTGTTTTTCTGTCAATATGGGGTGCTGTGTGTACATTAATGAGGAAAAAAAATTAACTTAAATGATTTTAGCAAATGGCTGCAATTTAACAAAGAGTGAAAAATTTAAGGGGGTCTGAATACTTTCCGTACCCACTGTATATATACAGTATATATATATACACACATACACATATATACATGCATATATGTGTGCGTGTGTGTATTACAAAAATGCTTTCGATCTGCTTTGTACTCATAATCCGTTTAATGTTCCCTGTTTCGTAGCATGACAGTATACAGGCTTTTAACCAGATTTGAGCTAAAGAAGAACAAATTTACACTTTTTTGGTCACATTTTATTAAATATAAGCATATGGTGCAATCAAATCCTCATGGGAAGCTTGTATTTATGAGTTGAGAAGTTGTAATTATGGGGTCAGGAGCGTTTCAATAATTTTGTTCAAAGTAAGATGGCAATGTACCTTTTCTACAAAGAATACAGCAAGGTTTTATTTAACTCTACTTAAATAGAATAAATAAATTGTGTGCACCAAGTGTGTTTTTGCTTTTTTCATGTTTTTATTAAATTTATGAAGGTGCTGTAAACAGAATTGTTATGTATTCTATCGTTATATGTACATCCAACTTAGCTAGTTTTAAATGCTGCATCTATTGTGTCTGCTATATTTTCTCACTGAAATGCCCCCAATTTGGAAACTTGGGGCTCAAAGAAAATGTTTAATTTCGACATTGTGATGGCGTTCATGTGCGTTCAACTTGTAAATACAACCTTTCAGACATTTGTCTTAAAGAGAATTTCCACTGTCTGTTTCTCCTCTTAATGTGGGCTGTGATGGTATATAAGCATATGTGCGCTAATCAAACACAGATCTATTACCATCTGATCTGATTCCATTAAATATCAAATCTTTGGCTTCGAAAACATACTCCAGATGGAATATCTCAGCGGGGATCTACAGTTGAAATGTCAGTTCAGTCATAACCAAAAGGTTAGTGAAAATCGATGAGAGAAACTGTGATCTCGATGAGCAGAGCGCCAAACGTGAGTCAGCGAATGAACCGAGTGACCTGCAGCCCACTCTCTCTCCCTCCCTCCTACTCCTCACCTACATGATACTGGGATTCAGCAGTAATAATGTGTGACAAATCTCAGCATGACGACAACAGACAACAGAGGATTACTGCATAAAACTTGAAAACGTGAGTTAAGATGCTCTTATATATTGTTGTTGTTTGTGAATGCACTAGATGTTTTGTTATCTGGGAGCCGGACGTCTCCTGCAGGGTAGAGGCAGGTGGAGAGGATGGAGGAAGGGTGTGTGGTGGTGGAATAGCCTGCTGGGCTTTGCAGTGTCTCACTGTGAGACTTTAATAACAGGCACTTAGGAGGACACCTCCTCCATTTCACTTCCCTCACTGTGGAGGATGTGCTAGCCTGAGCTCCATTATTAAAGCACACACACCCAGCTCACACTCTCTGATCTCACCTCAGCTTCCACACCAGTATGAATACTGCTACAAAAGACTGTCCAACAGAACTATGCCAAACAAATGATTACATATTATTGGTCTTTTTCTTTCTTTCTCGTTTTCTTTTTACTTGTTTGCCTTCCACTTACTCTGTTTTTGTTTGTTTGTTTGTTTTGTAATTTCTTTCTACTTTCTTTAAATTTTTTTGTTTCATTCGTCTTTTTCCTTCAGATTATCTTCCATTTATTCTCTTTTTCGTTTTGTGTTTGTTTGGTTTTCCACTTTTCTTTCTCTTTCTACTTTTTCTTTCTATCTATCTATCTATCTGTCTTTTTTTCTTATTTTCATTTTTCTTTCTTTTTTCATTCAGGTTATCTTCCATTTATAATTTTTTTTCATTTTGAGTTTGTTTTTTCACTTCTCTTTTTTGTTTTCTTTCTTCTTTTTCTGTCTATCTATCTTTTCTTTTTTCTTTCCTTTTTTCATTCAGGTTATCTTCCATTAATTCCACTTTTTAATTTTGTGTTTGTTTGATTTTCCACTTCTCTCTCTTTCTTTCTTTCTTTCTTTCAACCTGTTAATCTTCCATTTATGATCTTTTTTCTTTCCTATACTCTGCCTTTAACATCATATTTTGTCTTTCCTCCTTTCATATGTCACATTTCTTTTTGTCATCCTCCTTCATTCTCTCCCGTTCCCCTCTTTGATGAATGTTTTCTCCCCCCATCCTCTCTGCAGATGAGCGTAAAGCTAATGTTTGGCCGTGAAGAGGGTGTGCATTGTAACGGAATAATGAAATGGACTGACTCCACCGAACGTCCCGCTCCCTCCCTCAGATACTCTTTTGTTTGAGGAGAAAGAGAGGCTGTAGAATAGATCACCAGCACGAGTCGAGTGTTAAAAAGCATGTTATCACAGCTTTACTTTCTTTAGCTTTCTCCAGCTACTTCACACTAATACAGTCCTACAGGTGACACAAAACACTCTCAACCTTTATAAGGAATAGGGCAGCTAATAAAATACTTTATAGTTCTGTAGCACACAGTAAGCTTCCTCTAGCTCTCAAAACGGAGTGAACAGATGGTAGGAAGGTATAAGTGGGTGTGAAATGAATAACGTTCTTTGAAAGTAAATTCAAAAGTGGAACGACGAGTTCAGTAAATATATTATTACTGACGTATAATCATCTGAAATGTCTCCATTTATCACATTATAAATTATTAAAGCACAGACAGGCCTGCTTGAGAACAACTACGGAAAAATTGCAGCCTCAAATAAACTCTGATAAGTCAGCAAACTTAATTCAGGCAGATATTATAATATTAATATAAAAAAGCACTGGGAGGCTCATATTAGACATTTATCATGGAAGAGAAGATAGCAAAAAGAATGTTCACTAGACAAAGAAAAGCAATGAGTGATGACTGCTGTAAGTGAGGGGGAAGCAAACACAAATGCATTATTCTCGTTCCCTAAACCTGCTCCCATTAGTCCAATGCTTAGTCTTTTTGTTTCTGCTGCTTGTCTTTAAGGCCTGAGGCAAAGAGCAAGGTTTAAAATCTCCCCAAAGCCCAGCACTGCTGCACTGAGTTGCGGAAGACTACAGGGTTTTTAACTGCACACCCAGACAGA